AAATCTGTCTATACATACATACATACATTCGTACATACATATACACACACACATACATACATACATATATACATACATACATACATACATACATACATACGTACATACATGCTTTCATAAATACTGTTATACTTATTTGTATACATGCATACATGCATATATACATCCATTCATATATATATATATATATATACATACAGACAGATTCTGATTCGTTTTAACATATACAAGACTCAAGAGTTGCAAAAATGTCCGATCAACGTAAGTTGCGTGTAAATGTCGATCCAAAAAAGTTGATAGCCTCATTGCATCTCATACCCAGTTGTAGGACTGCTACTTATGAGCATGTTTGAATGGCACAGAGCTCGATGCATACGATTCTCTCATGTCCACGTAACGTTTATTTCGAGATTTTTTTCTCGATTCTGATGACATCAAAAACGAGGTCAGATTAACTGCAAGTAGAACGAGGGTCTAGTACAAAGTGCCTGACTCTTGTCAGCTCTCTGCTTGAGTATGTTGTCTACCACCGGTCGTTTCAGGTTACTATCTATTTTATTGACTACATACTGACACCTATGGCCTAATTACTGAGGGTATCAAAATTATGCTTTGATAGACCAGCCGTCCATCTTTTCGAATGTTTGTGCGTCTTCACCTGGACCGATGATGACCGTTTTCTCATCCTGTCGGTTGACCAAATATCTGAATACATAAGAGGTGCATGAATATTATTTAATGTGTATAGATACATTCTGTCGCAGCCTGGCTTGAATAGAAGAACGATACAATTCAACATAAACTGAGATATACACGTCGGCAACTACGTTAGATAAATCAGAATAAAGACTAGTTTATTAAGGAACACATGCTGAAAGTACGACGAAATATGTCTATTAGGTCAGCACTATGGACAGTGGTAGAATGTCGCCCACACACTGTGCAACAGATTGTGCAAATGGAACGAACCTTACTCAGAACCAACAATACACGGCGCCAACAATACACGCAGCCAAATTACACATAGCCAACAATACACAGAGCCAAAATACACATAGCCAACAATACACTCAGCCAAATTACACATAGCCAACAATACTCAGAGCCAAATTACACAGAGCCAACAATACACCGAGCCAAATTACACATAGCCAACATTACACAGAGCCAAAATACACAGAGCCAAAATACACAGAGCCAACAATACACTCAGCCAAATTACACATAGCCAACAATACACAGAGCCAACAATACACAGAGCGTGATTCAGTGGAAAAGTCAAGTCAAGACCAGATCGGAAATGAAGTGTGAAGTTTGATGACATCAATGACGATTATTCTCCACAACTCATAGGTCACAAAATGCGGCACTTTCAATTGGCAGCCGCGAGCAAAGCGTCATCATGTCATGAGACGTTCAAAAATATGAAAAGAGTGACGGGAGTGTTGTGGGCCAGAGGCAACTGTGAACTGACAGCCCCGCTCACGTACAGCTGATACAGACTAGGAGAGTCAATAAACGTTGTCAACTGAATGAGATCATAATAAAAAAAGATACGTTTACCAACAACTCACATCCCCCGAGGACACTCACATGTATTGACCAGACACGCACAACAATAGAAAATGAGACGAACGTAGCCTCACAAGTTCGATCTCGGATAGAGCAACATAGAAGGATGTCGCACTTGCCTACAATAGCTAACGAGACGACAACAACTGTCCCAGTCGCGAGTATGCCACCACAAATATCACCAAACACCCACCAAGGGCGACATGCTCCACACCACAACCACAGTTAGAGAGTACTATGTTGTACACATCGGCTGAGCTGGGCTAAATCAGTCTCACGGCCCATATATATATATATATCACCACTAAACCACACACAATAACAGCCTAAGCATATCGCTCATAGGTTATAGCCGGGTAACACAATAGCCCGGTAAGACGCACGGATACCACCACTAAACCACACACAATAACAGCCTACGAATAAAGCTAATAGGTTATAGCTGGGGAAGACAATAGCCTGGTAAGACGCATGGATACCACCGTTAAACCACACACAATAAGAGCCTAATACAGCTCATAAGTTATGGCCGAGTAAGACAACAGCCCGGCAAGAAGCACGGATACCACCAATAAATAAAACACAATAACAGCCTAAGAATACAGCTCATAGGTTATAGCCGGGCAAGACAATATCCAGATAATGCGGAAGTACATACTTGTTCGTCGCCTGTACGAGCGCTTCTCGATCCACCGCAAACAGCCTGTCTCTGTGCCGTTGTCTGGCTTCGTTGGACACTCCATAAACGAACCCAGACATGCCCTTAGATCCCGGAGACACCGGTTTGTCCATACGTTGGAAAACCGTTAGTTTGGCTTCCTCCACATCGGATTCTGAGTAGTCTCCAGACAGTAGGTACTGCGGTGCCTCGTTGTAGGCTTTCAGGGTTGCTTCGAATCCTAGAGAGATTAGACGTGTGTGTAGATTTGACGCGAGTGCTTAGATGAGTGGAAGAATTAAACGGGGCTACATATGTATGTGCGTCACTTCAGGACTAGAACCTTTGAAATAAAGGGCGATCGCAATTGGCACACACACGTGTTTGATAATCTAGATATGGCTTCTCTTACTCATGGATTGCCCAAGCTCGAGTACACAGTGCGCCACACACGTGCCACCAACTGATGAATTGTACGTTTGGTTGCGTAGATAGCTGCCTTGTTCGGGCTATATGCAAACCATGGTAGGTATTCGTACAACCACGGCAGTGTTGTCTAGCTGTCGACTATAGCAAATCACGAGGGTACAGTGGAAGGTATGAACAGTGCGAAGCAGCTCAGCATCCTTTCAATCCTGCAAGGTATCATACGCCAGACTACCACACCACATTGACCTACTGATAGGACCGCCATGACTGTTAATATTCCTCGTGCGTAGGGCCACACAAGTGATCAATACACACCTGGGTCACGGTAGGAGTAGTACGATAGACTGCCGGACCCCGCACTCAGACCGCCTCCGTACGCGCCGTTCTTTTCTCTCACTTCGCGATGCAGGAACTTTGCACTCAGCAACGACGTAAGCACCTGTGGTGTTAGCAGATGTCAACACACGACACAAATCGAATCGGCGGGTTAATGAGTGCGTAGCTATGTGGGGCTTAGCGTGTGCGAGGGTGTGATTGGGATGGGTGTCGACCGTAAACTAGATGTAGATTCACGCCATGTGACGCCTGAGGCAGTAACGGATCTGTACACTCACGGACAATAAAGTGAAGGAAGAAATATAAAAGCGCAGGTGGTGTCTCCGATCTGTGTGAGTCGGATTTGCGTCTGAGAACCACACGCCGCGGTCACTCTACAGCGGCGGGTCCAATGTGTGGGGATCAGCTATTGCCATATGAGAATCGGGACACGAGCTACTACAGGTACTGAAGAGAGTGTCCCTATATTCTACCTAGTAGTGTGAAGGGGCATTCTTCTAGTCAAGAGAACGAACATTTCGAAAGATTCATGTGAGATTCTATATACACCACATGCATGTATGATGAATGTATCGTTAGTGTGTATAGTTCACAGCCGAGTGAAATGGAGAACACTAGAGTTGAAGAGAAGGTTACTACGTGCGCGTATACTCGCATGTATATCTGCGTATAATGAATACAAAGAAGAACACCAGATCTGCGATATAATAGTATGTATACATATGCTTCAGCATGATGAGTAGATACAAATATACCAATTAGACTAACCAGTATTATGCTTGCACCTCTCGTCTACATCAATACAATAGCATGTGTAACACGAAATCGATCCAAACCAAGCTAAGCCAAACCAAACAAAGTCAAGCCAAGCCAAACCAAACCAAATTAAGCCAAACCAAATATTAAAAAAACCAAACCAAACCAAACCAACCCAAGCCAAACTAAACCAAACCAAACCAAACCAAACCAAACTAAACCAAGCCAAACCAAACCAAAGAAAAACAAAACAAACCAAACCAAGCCAAATTAAGCCAAGCCAAACCAAGCCAAACCAATCCAAGCCTACTTACCTGGAGTGTAGCGCTATCCTCGTGATTGCTAGGTATTGACGCGACACTCTTCGCCACAAAATTCACATTGACTGGCAGAGGCACGTACAGCTTCTCTTGATTGAACGAGGGCAGGCTATACTCCCCACTAGATTCATTTGACCCCGATTGCTGTGCATGTATAGGAAGCATAGCGTACGGTGCAATTATACGCATGTGTGAGCATCAATCAGGCAAACAGCCTATTATGCACTGATAGTAAAAGCGGTACCTTTCGAGTCACCGTCCAAGCTATGTCAACGCTGCCAATTGGACATCAAGCGTTGGCCGTCAGGATCAGGTGTGAGGTCTAGGAGGCATTATATATATGTTTTAAAAGCATTGCTATGAATAATTGCAGAAAATGTATATTCTCCGTCTACTCATGCGCATATAGAGTTCAGTTTCAGCTGTAGTGCGGCCGAGGAGAGGAATCAAGCAGGTAGCCGTTGTATGCGTGCCTCTACAGCCCTCGGGCTGCTGTCTGTTGCCGGCATCGACAAGCATGACGCATCAACCGCAAAGACAACAAACTTCATCTCAACACCCAAACAAAGATACTCACAAATGCAAATAAACGTAAAATCGTGCAAATGCATTGAGCTAAACCACATCCAATCCGTATCAATTACCGTAGGCCGGTCACTGGGGAGTGTGTTGAGTAGCCGTTCCAGTTGTGTCTCGGCCGCTCGCATTCCGATGCTGTCTGCGTTAATAGCGCACCTCGCATTGGACGTCATGAACACATGTGAGGCAAGTTCGCGCAGTTTGCTGAGGATTTCTTGCTGGTCCTGTTGTTCGGCTAGTTTGCGCATGAAGTCGATCTGCCGCAAATGGTGTGATGTTTGGTGGTGGATAGGGGATTGCGGTGGAATAGGCCCCGGAGTTGTGTGATGATAAGAATTCAGACTGGGATGTACACAGATGATGCGTGTTAACGATGTGATGGCGAAGGGCAAGTTGTGCAACATCCACAACAGACATTCGCTGTCAGGTAGAGTCACCGGTTAAAATACTATTAAATACTTGAGTACATACGACACATGCTGGGTGTTCGTGGCCACCTCAGTCAGTCACTATGCCACGGATATGCTTACAACATATACCACACCCGATCTAGCCATCCCAATTGAACCCATACCCAGAAAACCACATGTGTCTCAAACTATAGTCAATTGGACTCGAAGGACCGTGAGATATGTGTGTACCTGAGTCAACCCGCCGTAGACCTCGGTCATGGCATCGTACTGAGTGAGCGACGCAGCGGCACGGGTGATGGCGAAATGATGACCCGCATCAGATACACTGTTGGCCATATCACTATACGCCATCTTCACCAGCGTGTACAGCCGTTGTTCTGTGCCTGAGCGGTTTTTAAAGGGAAATAAATGTATATAACGGGGATATTCAGTATGGTACTAGTGCGCTGGCAGGGGTTGTTTGATGTGCAGGCTCTGGGTGGTACATGCTGCCCCGCATGAGACACGCTGTTGTCTATGACATTGTATACTATCTTCACCAGCGTGAAAAGCCCTTGTTCGTGTTTAAGAGGTATTCGATACATGGTAAGTATATATTATAGGGGTATCGAATGTGGTAGTAGCGTGTAGCCAGTGCCTGGCAGGAGTACAAGCTCTATACGCCTTATGCTGTCCTGCATAATATATGTATACAATATATATATATACATTATATATATATATATATATATATATATATATAATAGATAGATAATAATAGATACATATATACATAGATACATAGATACATAGATAATATATAGATACATACATACATAGATGTGTGATATATATGCATGACCTACCATCAAAGTGGGATTCGTTTAGAATATCTGAGCACAACGAGGTAGTGTGTTCTAAGTTCCGATCCAGGCACCTTGCCAGTAACATAATACCCTCCGAGTGCTTCGATGTATCGTTTCGATCCTGCACCAGCAAAGGACTCAGACGGATACCGCCAGTCCATAGTTTCGTTTTTTGACCCAACTCGCGGTAGTCTCTGCCGGTGAATAAAATAAAGTAATATATTTTGAGAGTATATACACACTATATAATCTGCTACAAACTTATATAACAGTAGGAAACATCATGTAACTACCTGCCAGCGTAGAGCACACATCTGTGCACATGTACAGATTGATAAAGTGATTGCAATGATAAATATAGAGGACTCAAGCGGTGGATAAAAAGTAACACCCAGCGCTATCGAACTACCACCATTACACATGCGAACACATGCGATCGGATAGACAGCCCAGGATATACACAGGAATGTACCTGCTACCAGCACCCAGGGACGGGAGGACACTACAGAACAAGGGGATGTAAGGCTTGAGATGCGCTGGGACGTTCTGAGTGTTGAAGATGGTGCGCATGTAGGTCATCTGATTCGTGGGTTGCTCACAGAATTGTGTGTCTACCGACGCGCCCTTGGACGTCGACAGCGAGCGTTTCTCGCGCGCCACCTGGTGGATCTGATGGCAGAATCGCGAGAGAAGAGAGTGTGTGTAAGCCGTTGCGATGATACCAGTGTACGTTAATGTATGACAATACACATGCCAATTCCACATTGTAAAAGTATCGTGTAAACGCGAGAGAAGAGTGTGTAAGCCGTTGTGATGATACAAGTGTACGTATATGCATGCGTATACATATATAAATTACACATTGTAAAAGCATTGATGAAAACCATAGTTTATCCGGCCCAAAGACACAGTTCCGCATAGCATGCCATACCTTGCGCTCGATATCTTCCACTCGCAAAGTCGGCAGGCAGCTGAGATCGGGTGTCGTCTCCTGTTCTTTCAGCAGCTGCAGGCCTTGCTCGTACACGCGGTCACGAGATTCGTCTGATAAACTGAGTGTTGAGTAGGTTAGTTAGATGGCGAAAAACACACACTTGAGCACTGTATGTAGCTTAAGAATCGTATGTCTACGACTGATTCTATAGTTATCAATGCGAGTTCCTTCTCTGCTTAGTCTGTAGTGTCAGGCCTCGGAGGTCACGAGACTCATCCGACAAATCGTGTGAAGGGTACCGATGAAGTACAACCAATTTGCTAGCAGTTAACACGAATACTTGAGCGTAGTAAAGGTTTATGCGGAAAATACATTTGTGAGTAACTATAACGATGCAGGTATACTTAAGCAGTGATACTAAGAAAGTAACATACTCGAAATAGGACCATCATGCTACTGTGCAACCATAAACGATGTGAACCATCTTATTTATACTAAAGATACAACGGTCTATCATCACGTATATATGTCCACTTCATGAGATACTTTTCATTTCATACCTACAGACAGGAAGTATGTTTTCACGAGAAGGTATGTATAAGCTTGGGGAAAGACACCCTGCTACGCACATCGTCTGCATAAACAGAATACCCACAGGATAAGCACTGACCGCATGTCCCACAAGATGAACAGCGTACTACGATGCGATTGAACCGACGTTCGCCTTATCTGGAAAGCACTTGCAACGGGTGCAGATTGCGAAACTCTCTACGCCGTACTCCCTATGACGCTCAGTAAATACAAAACGTAGATCTGTTGTGCCAGGCACTCGAACCACCCAAATCACACAACTCGGTGTATCTGGTATGTATGGGGATATGATATACAACATACGTGGACACGACTTCCTTGAGATAGTCGGCTTCCTGCTGTGCCAGATTGTTCGTGAACTTCTCGTCCGGTGTCATAATAAAGGTCAGCCTGTGCTGGTTGGATATCAGATGGCGCTCGAAGAAATTCTTGACAAAGTATGGATCAGCCATGTCGGTGCGGAATCTGCCCAAAGCACAGGATGGGGAATGGATCAGAACTTCGTTTCAGACTACTACGTGACAAGCACCTCTGAGCTGCTCTGCAGAACAACACGACAACTTGCAAGTATATCGTGGTATATCTAGTTGTATGTGCCCGATTTTCGCTTGATGGTAGTATACTAGTTTTTGCATAGTCACGTACTGCGACAGCCTTCGCAAGACAGGCTCAACCGAATGCTCAGTTAGCAAACGAGTTGATAAAAACAAATTAGTGGACAAGAACAAATTGGATCCCAAACATTGGTACCGGCGTGTAATTCCGGCTCTACCCATGTCAACGTGTAAAATGATTCATCCATATATATCCCAGTCAGAAACCAAGCTTAACCACACAACAGCAAAGCTATATCGACAGTGTCAGTAGGACACCACAACTAAACTTATCATGCCTTCGGGCACTAACTGAATCACGGCAGGGTCGTTGATCGAGCGTGACTCACCCAATGAGACTACTAACTACCTCGAGCTACACCCATACGTACTCCCAACTAGTAAAATTCACTTTCTATATAGACATTAGCATCAGACCTGAGCAACCCATTTTCACCACGAACGCAATTCCAGCCCCGAACTTTACCAATATATACACTAACCTCTCAACATGAGCTTGGATCATATATACACTCACCTCTCAACATGAGCTTGGATCATATATACACTAACCTCTCAACATGAGCTTGGATTACATATACACTAACCTCTCAACATGAGCTTGGATCATATATAAACTAACCTCTCAACATGAGCTTGGATCATATATAAACTAACCTCTCAACATGAGCTTGGATCATATATAAACTAACCTCTCAACATGAGCTTGGATCATATATAAACTAACCTCTCAACATGAGCTTGGATCATATATAAACTAACCTCTCAACATGAGCTTGGATCTGCAAGAGCTCGACGGGATCGCAATCGTTGACCCACGGCCCCATCAGCGCCGCTGCGAGGCCCAAACCAAACGATGTGGTCTGGTCCCGTTGTGACAACTCAATCTGATGCAATACAGCCTCTGAATAGACGTTTGATTCAACAATTGCACGAGTGAGCCAACTGATCTGTGACTTTGTGATGATGATATGTCATAGCCTCACAAGGAAAAGTTATTGCATTCAATGAGAGCACGGGTATGAAAAGGGCTCTATGATTTTGTGTCAGGTGGCAGAGTGGATAAACAGATGTTGAATTTGATGTATGCCAGAACAAGCATACAACTACGTGGTTTTGTGATGTAGCATAGTCTCTGGCCTGTCGTTGGGTTCGATGATTGTATGGGCAAGCTATATTTTCGTAACTGCTATGTTCCACAATCTCTGACACAAGTTTTAGGTTTGATGGTTGTTTGAGTTCGCCGATAACTCTAAATTTGGACAAATATTAAGCAAAAAATTTGAAACTGACCCCAAAATCACCAACAATTTAACATAAGCAAAAACACGCTTTATCGATATATATGTAATGTCCCTTAAAATGCCTTACCAACACGTTCGGCCTCAAATCCGTCTTCCATGGTTTTCTGGATGGTCTTCTCAATCATATCCTTCACCATTGGGATGTCGCTCTCCTTAATGCCTGCGAGTGTGTGAGGTGCATGCATGTTAGTGGACAGTAACCAAGAAGTAGCCATCGACAAATGTCCAGCGATCGCTCACAGCACCGACCACATCAATAAAAGTTCACTAAGTTCTCGTGCGGACGTTCTGAGACGTTGATGCACCACATGCACGTAGTTCAATTCTAAAGTTCAGACATACAACCCACCCACCCACACACAAACACACACACACACACAGACATACGGCAAGGCCCACACAATCTACATAGATGTCGTAGAGGTGATATGCTACGGTATGCTATGGTATGCTGCGATATGCTACGGTATGCTGCGATATGCTACGGTATGCTACGGTATGCTACGGTATGCTTCATAGCTGTACCTTGAAGCCCGACGCTGAAGGAGGGCTCGCGCGTACTGGTGTCCAGGCCTGTGTTGGGCGTATAATCGGAACCTGCGCATATAAAACAGCCGATAGAATCAAAACCCGACCAGAGAGTGGAGAACGGAAGTGAACCATATCAGATATCAGAGTGAAAGTAATAAGCGAGACAAAATATAGCCGCACTCACGTACCCAGCTGAGACTCGATCAATGCGATGTACATGGGCGAACTTGACCCATCGACCAGCAGCGATGTTAGGATGCGTTGGCAGAAACCCTCGTACGCATCCTATAGTATACGACGACGGCATCGGATGAGAGATGGTGTTTGGTGGGGTGATATGAGATGATATGTACTAGATGAACATGGTATAGCATTTCAGGGGTTCGTGCTGGCTGTCATTGCACGACACCGTAGGTGCGAAGGTAGAATTTGGCGAGTAAAATAGATACTGAAGATATATTTGGTAGGCGATTATAGTATAAAATAATAAAAATAGTTTGAAGCTAACTCTGAGTCGACTGACTCAACACTACAGAAGGATTCGAAAATGTGCAAAAGCGCAACCATGAAATGGTGTCAAACCACGACACTACCTACCAAGAGCTAGGAAATACAAACAGAACTGCACATCCTGAAAAAGCATAAGAAAGACTCTTACGGTTAAGGCAACAGAGACACAATATAACCCATCACCAAGGGTTGGTTGCCAATACGCTCAGCAATATTTCTCTCTCGATCTTACACCCAGCAAGTGTCGTGACAACTGATGTGGTTAGCTATTGTTCACACAGACAGAAGTCATACTATACGAGTGCATACATGAATAATTTTTCGCACAGACAAAGTCATACTATACGAGTGTATATATGGATATTGTTCAAACAAATCAATAATCCTATACGAGTGTATATATGGACATTGTTCACACAGATAAAGACATACTATTCGAGTGCACATATGTATATTGTTATACCAGATAAAGTCATACTATACGAGTGCATATATGAATATTGTTCATACAGATAGACATAATACACGGGTGCATATATGGTTACTGTCACACAGATGAAGTTATTCTAGCATATCTAAATATTGTTCAGATAAAAGTCATACTATACGAGTGCATATATGAATCCAATACTGGTCACGTGCACGTTTGCAAATCTATCCGAACCACTCACCTCTTTCTGCAGCAACCAGCCGATGCTAGCCTTGGTCTGTCGGTCGGCGTGTGCGGCCATAGTGTCGGGTGGACAGTGAGCGATCACTTCACAAGGCTCCGTCCTGTGATATTGATATTTGAATGTGATCTCTCTATCAGATGCTATTACTTTAGAAGACTGGTAAGAAGCAAGTTGTGTGACTGAAGTATTTAAATTGATTCGTGTGTTTGGATCTGAAGATAATATTTCACGAATATCCATATTCGGAGCTAGATGTGATTCATATGCGATTACTGATAAGGTAGTGAATTCAATTGGGGCGGAATCAATTACGTAGTGCGAAGTGATGCTCCTCGTGTAGTGGATGACGGCGCTGAGTCTAGTGAGCAAATGAATTGGATATCTGTGAACAACAAACCGTAATGACAGCTGCGCCTTGTACAGGTTAAAACCAAAGGCGTTTCATACATCGACAGCATGGCTACAACCATAGCCCAAAGTCGCACTACACCTACAACCCGTAAACGGGAGCAAGTCTAACTAACGATTCTAAAAAAAAGTACGTTGGTCCATAATCGGTGTGTGGTTGATACATCGTCGTATGATATCCTACGCAAATTAATACACTGGCACAAAAATAAACCCTCAAACCAATTTCACATACAAGCCATCTCCAGTACAACCAAAGCCCACCGCACAGCTCTGCACCTACCATCGGGGAACGGGACCGACTTCTGTATCCGCCACAAGCTTATCAAACGAATCAAACAGCGGCCCGATGCTCTCGAAGTGGCGAGTCAGCGGCAGATCGCCATAGGTGTACACGCGTGCGTTAGAGGGATGGTAGTGTGTGCGGTGGAACTCGCGCAGGACGTTAACATCCAGTTTGGAGAGGATGGAGGGGGGGTCGCCTCCGGATACGTTGCCGTAGGTGCTGCCTGGAACGGGGTGCGTATACAAATTGCTGTGGTTGATATGCGTGCGCACAAGTGTGACGGGTATATGTTTTGATGGCTGGTAAATGCCACACGGCAACTAGCCTATGCCGATGGTTTTGTTTATTCATACTTTAGCGTCGTTTCGAATCAATAGAAGAGCAAGAAATTTGCCGAAAAGGCAACAACACTTCAGCAAGACAGCCTTGTAGAGCACAACCACATACATGCATGCTAACCGATACTAATCCGCTGCAGTGTGACGATCATACGCACACACACCAGTAGCATGCAAACTCGGATACAAGTAACGAATATATATGCATACGCAACCATCATATAAACACTAATATGTACAATGTATATCTGTGGTGCGTATGTAATTGTGAGCGTGGTAGATACCTGGGAACAAAGCCTGCTGGAACCGGGTGCAAAAGAGGCGGTCGGGATCACTCAGGGCACCCTGCAGAGCCACGGTGGATATAGAGACGCAACATGCGTGTCGATCAGGCTAATGAGAAGATGAAACGAGCACCGATACACCCCCACCCAGGTGACAACTGAACAGTGACGGGCACAGGCAACAGATGCGATACAATGTACCAAGAAGCCCAGAGTATATACCATGCTCATAGTAAAACAGAGTGTATGCCATGGTCTAACAAACACAGGGTGCGAGACGTATTCTCAAGAAAACAGCGCGGGCGACATGTACTCAACACTTAGACAACATCAGCAACTTCTTTAACCACGCCCGTGTATAAGATGTACAACCGAGCCGAGCCGAACCGAGCCAGCGCGATTTAAATGAAACCCTATTCCTAATAAAGCAAGCGCAAACATATAACCCTATCCCTGATAAATCGAGCGCACATCTCTGGCGGGTACATCACGGTTAATTCGAGGAGATGAGCTGAAAGGATGTAAACTGTGGACATCTGAGGCCACAGAAATGGTCCGAAATACAATGGGCGCAGACATACCTTCATCTCGTTGAACACTACACCCTTGAACTGCAGGTCTGTTGATTTGTCGTTAGGATTCTCGTTCTCCAAGCGCCATCCCTCTTGTAAAAAGTCGAGCTGCGTTACACAATCAAATGAATGGTCCGTGGGGTTATTCATCGCACCGAATGTGAAACGACGGTGATGTATGTATACATTTAATAAAATATATACAGTAACACCGATATGAAAGTCTGACTCAGAATACAGCGGTTTAGTATATATCGACTAGCCTGCATCTTATCCCCCTCAAATGGCGCCGGTAAATAGAAACGTACACGTGCAGAGATGTATGAACGCTATGAAACAATACGCCACTCGGGAATACGCACTCCATACAAAAGTAGCCACTGTTTAGACCAAGCGATCATAGATACCTCTCACACATATAAACATATGTTCCAACCCGACCGTCCACACAATAGCATACAACAACTGCACGCAAAACCAAACCAGTACGGAAGTGGCCCCACTCGGATGCGAGTGTCCATGGGCCACTCATGTACTCATGAAAGTACAAAGCTGAATTCTACCAGCACAAACAACACCACACAACAGGTGCGCACGTACCTTACGAATATGTACTCATGAAAGTGCAAAGCTGAAACCTACCAGCATCAACAACACCACACAACAGGTGCACACGTACATCACGAATATGTACTCATGAAAGTGCAAAGCTGAATCCTACCAGCACCAACAACACCACACAACAGGTGCACACGTACCTCACGAATGCTGGGGTGCAGCACCGCATCCAAGTACACGTCCAGCAGGTTGTTGTAGTCGTTGGCGTTCTGCGTGGAGAAGGGATACATGGTATAGTCACTGGCCGTCCAGGCATTCATGTAGGTAGCCATGGACCGCGACAACATCTTGAAGAACGGGTCTCGGCATGGATACTTCTCCGAACCGCACAGGGACACGTGTTCTAACACGTGTGTGACACCGCTGCTGTCTTCGGGTGGTGTGCTGTAGGTGAAGAGACGCACGGCTTGATGTGAGTGAAGGGATAGGATGTGGAGTGACCTGTGCCGCCAGTTGGCAAGATGGCCCAACAATTAGTGTCATAGGCGGCGTGGGTGGAGGGCGATGTACAGGTATAGACCTCCAAGGCACGAGAAGTGCACAAATCCGGGTGCTTTAGTATGTGCTTGAATGCAACAGCACGAGCTTCATAGATGAGTGGGTGAGTTAGACCTCATAAAATATTGGCATCGTCAACTCCCCGCCTGCGCTTTTCTCGGCAGGATTAAATAAAATAGACGTAAACGAATACAGACACACTGCAGGGGTTGGACAGCCCCGAATCAAGTAGATGCACCAAGTCGCCTCATATTGACTATGGCAGCACTACCACACAACCAATACCCCGCACATCACGTGCTGTTCACACGCTCATATGGATAAGCCCAGCCCTTATCCATACACAAAAACGCGGTATCTGAAATGACCTTTACGCAGGGACACTCGCACGGTTACCCGACCCTATTGTATGTAGCCACCCTATCTAATTAACGTATTCGAATAAGAATTGTATTTCATAAGGCTATACAGAAAGCCCCAATACGTTTGTATTTGTTCAAACATCCCAAACATCCAAACATAGACGCACGCGAACATTCATAAAATGTCACATTGTCCAAATACGACTTACAAGTAGCTTACACGTAGTGAATCTCGAGGCCTCCAATCGCCTACACAGCCTTACAACTCCTAAAGTATCGCACAGTTTCAAAACCGATTTCGCAAACACGTTTGCCATCACAGTACTCTGACACATCCACTACTCTACTGTACAATAACTCAATGCAGAAAACGTTCGATCACGTACATACACAGCTGCACTGTTTTAGCACCACCAGAAGTATGCTTACGCAGTCACAAGTGTACCGCTGAGCGCCCACTCCCTCTCCAGATAGCACACATACAGAACGATCTACACACGAATACACACTCGTTCGAGTGCAATCGCTATATGGACTAAGTGTGGTGCTGCACTGAGCTACGGCCAACAGCATTACATATATCTTAAGAAATAGTATACCATAAATAGCATACTATATATAGCAGAAGCACTAATTGTGCGCACCGCCTTATTACCAGCGGTTAGCCTCACATTTACTGGTACACATACTAGCAAGCTTGAAGTTATCTACAGAGCAAAGACTACTAGTGTAACCCTAACCGATTCAAAACACCATCCCTGATATATAGATAGCATACTAAAAGTAGCACACTACAAGTAACATACTTTAAATAGCAGAAGCACTAATTGTGCGCACTGCC